TCTGTCACCCAGGTTGGAGCACAGTGGCACAATTATGACTCACTGTAGCCTCCAACTCCCATGCTCAAACAATCCTCCCACCTCAGCCTCCTGAGTGGCTGGGACTACAGATGTACACCACCATGTCTGGCTAATTTTTTATTTTTTGTAGAGACAGGGTTTTGCTCTGTTGCCCAGGCTAGTCTCAAACTCATGGCCTTTGGAAATTCTCCCAACTTGACTTCCCAAAATGCTGGGATTACAGGCATGAGCTACCACATCTGGCCTAATGTTGTAATTTTTTAAAAAATAGATTCAGTGTATTATTTAATTAAATATTAATAAAAATAAAAAAAATCTAAACTCAAAAAAGAGTTGCCATATTTATGAAATAAATTTTTGGCTGGGTGGGGTGGCTCACACCTGTAATCCCACACTTTGGGAGGCCAAGGTGAGAAGATCACTTGAACACTGGAGTTCAAGTCCGGTATGGACAACACAGGACATAGTCTGGACTCATCTCTACAACAAAAAAGTTTTTTTCAAAAAGTAGCTGGGTGTGGTAGTGTATGTCTGTAGTCCCAGCTACTTGGGGGCTGAGGCAGGAAGATGAGTTGAACTGGGGAAGTTGAAGCTACAGTGAGCTATGATTGTGCCACTGCACTCCAGCCTGGGCAACAGGGTAAGGCTCTGTCTCAAAAATCAATCAATCAATCAATCAATCTTGTCTGGATTCGTGACTAGATCTACAAAAAAAATTTTTTTAAAGAGGGTAGTTACGATAAATTGAGAGTTTAGTCTTGTCAGGGAAAATAATTTTAAGCCTTGCCCTGCTACTCCTTCACTTCTTCAATAATTTCCTGACTCGTTAGTTATTGACCATTAATATTATTTTGCATGATTGAGAAATGCCAGAAACACTCCAGTTCGTAGAAATTCTGGTAGCCAAACTGGTTTTTCATTTTATATTTTCCTCCAGGGATATGTTACTGATTATTGCCTTCCAGTGACTCTTAAAAGAAATAATGTTAGAGTCAAATAACTTAATTCAACGAATATATATTGAATGCTTAAGTATTTTTAAAATATTGAGAACTACTTGGAGTTACAAAAACAGATACTTGCTGGGTGCGGTGGCTCAAGCCTGTAATCCCACCACTTTGGGTGGCCAAGGTGGGTGGATCATGAGGTCAAGAGATCAAGACCATCCTGGCCAACATGGTGAAACCCCATCTCTACTAAAAATATAAAAATAAGCTGGGTGTGGTGCCACATGCCTGTAGTCCCAGCTACTTGGGTGCCTAGGGCAGGAGAATCGCTTGAACCTGGGAGGCGGAGGTTGCAGTGAGCCGAGATTGCCTGAGATTGTGCCACTGTACTCCAGCCTGGTGACAGAATGAGACCGTCTCAAAAACAAACAAACAAACAGAAAACAGCCAATACAGATACTCCATAAGGGGATTAAATAATGAAACCACAGAATTGTGTTTTCATTTTTAAAGCACACCACAATTCACCTGGGATCTGGTGGCTAGTATAGATCATTCTCATTGTGATGGAACTGGGAACATTAGATAAAACATCAGGAAAATCATATGACTGGGCTCTAGTATACCCACTGTATATAACAGGCAGCAGCTGTTCATATCGCAGGTATGTGGCAAAGTTTAAAGCATTATTTTACATGCTTTTTCTCTATACTAGTCCTTTATGTAATTAGGGTGAGGTTGATATTTCTGCAGCCAGCATCCTACGTGTATAGCAGATAGGTGGAAAGAGATATATGAGGAATAGATAACTCAAGTAATGAGAAAAGCTAAGAATAGAATGACCTGCTGTATCAATTCTTTGCTCTCCTGGTGGCTCTATTTAATGAGGGAGTTTTCAACATGCTACTCCTGGAAGTCTCTTTCAGGAGCTGCCCCATACCACATATATCTGCCCTTCTCTATCATGTATCAGTATGATAAGAAATAGTACACCTTTATGCTGCCAAGGCAGGCAGTTTTATTATACTGTTATATAGAGCTCTTTCCATGAGAAGTGTTTTTAACATCAACTGCCCATTCTGCAAAGAGGAAAAATAAGTTGAATTAGTTAAATATCCAATTCAAAAGATGTCACTGTAGAATATGAACTTACAAAAATTAAAAAAAAAGGACAGAGACACAATTTCTTATCCTCAATTCTCATGTCTAAAAAGCTATGAAAACCAGTTTCTTCACAAGTTTGTTGACAAAACCTGACCTGATTTGATCTGAGGCTCTTTATGATCTTTAGTTATCATACTTAGTGGGGATATTCATAAATCACCACAAAAATAGCATATTTGATAATGAGCTGCTGTCCCAGACTTTTTTTTAGTAGTTTTGAGTGAAATATTTTATGTAGACCCTATTAGTTTTTCAAAATCTCAAAAATTTTGATTGCAAAACACATCTAGACCTCAGTTTTCAAATAAAGGACCCCAAACTGTTAATGATACAGTGATTCTACTAAACCCAAAGACAGTCCCAATAAATATTTTTGTCCCCTAGTATGTCATGAAGATGAATCTCCAAGAAAAGAAAAAGCACATGTTAGAACAACGTGCAGGTTGTGTGAAAGCTGACACAATAATTTTATATGTGATGTAGCTGTAAGACACTATAGTTACCAGAAGTTATTAATCCATAAAGATAACATGCTGTGTTGTTGCAAATAGTTATTTCCCTAAAATTGAAAAGTCCCACTCTTTTCAAGTGGTTAGACACAGTGCTTTAGGATATTCTTATTCAGTAGTTCTAGTGCTTAGAATATTCTTTTTTTTTTTTTTTTTTTTTTTTTTTTTTTTTTTTTTTTTTTTTTTTTTTTTTTTTTTTTTTTGGAGATGGAGTTCTGCTCGTTGCCCAGACTGGAGGGCGGTGGTGCCATCTCGGCTCACTGCAATCTCCACCTCCTGGGTTCCAGTGATTCTCCTGCCTCAGCCTCCCGAGTAGCTGGGATTACAGGCACGTGCCACCATGCCTGGCTAATTTTTTGTATTTTTAGTAGAGACAATGTTTCACCATGTTGGCCAGGCTAACCTTGAACTCCTGACCTCAAGTGATCCACCTGCCTCGGCCTTCCAAAGTGCTGGGATTACTGGCGTGAGCTACCATGCCCAGCCCAGGATATTCTTATTCAGTGCTTCTGAACATGGTTAAGCATTAGAATCTCCCAGAGAGCTTTGTAAAAATATACATGCAAGGGCCTCATTGTCCAACATTCTGACTGACTTGGTCTAGAAAGGGGCCCTTACAACAGTGTTTTAAAAACTCCTTACATGATGATTCTAACATATAGTCAGAGCTTTAAAAAGTCCCAATATCAGGGCTGTACCTTAGATCAGATAAATCAGATTTCTGCAGTGTAAAACCGAGACACCAGTACTTTTTAAAAAACATGCCCTGGTGGCTGGGCACAGTGACTTACATCTGTAATAGCTCTTTGGGAGGCTGAGGGGACAGATCACTTGGGGCCAGGAGTTCGAGACTAGCCTAGCCAACATGGTGAAACCCTGTCTCTACTAAAAATACAAACATTAGCTGGGGGTGGTAGTGCACGCCTGTGATCCCAGCTACTTGGGTAGCTGAGGCAAGAGAATTGTGTGAACCTGGGAGGCGGAGGCTACAGTCAGCCGAGATTAAGCCACTGTGCTGGAGTCCAGCCTGGGCCACAGAGTGAGACTCTGTCTCAAAAAACAAACAAACAAACAAGGCAAACATGCCCTGGTGCTTCCAATGTATACCCAAAGTTCTAGGCCAATTGTTGCAATTCCCTAATCTGACTGGCTTCAAAATTAAGGGTGTGATTGTTTTGTTTTTTGTCCTGAACAAAGTCAGTTCTAGGTCATCACCATCGTAGGGCCACCAATAAAGAATTCTAAGCATTACTCACACTCTGGTGGTGGTGTGTTCATAAATCCTTCCCCAATTTCTTTAAAAAAGCAAAAAGGGCAGGAGGAAGAAGGTACAGAAATCACATGAGAAACATTTTAAAATACTTTTAGTAAAATAATCTGTACTATGTCAAAACTCCTTTGGCACACAGTAAATCATAGTGAGGAACAAAACTGAAAAGCAGAATTTGCTTTAATTGAGGCTACAGTGTAAGAGGGAATACACTTAGAAGGTGATAATAGAAAATCATAGTATTTTCAAGTAATTTGTATGACAGTAAATTTATAAAGAAATACAGTAATTTCCCAGTGACTAACTGTTCAGGATGCCAGTGCTAAGCCAGGATGCCAAACATAATTCAAAGAAAGCTAGAAATACATTCAACATATTACATTGAAAATAATTTCTGTTCAGAGAGCAACTGAAACATATAATAAGGTGCACATTTTTTAGATATAAGATAGAGTTCTTTTCCTTTTAGTTAAAATAACTTTTTTCACACATTGTAATGGTCATATGAAAAAGATATCTAGGTTTTTTTCATCACTAACCCTGAGGAAAGAAGAATAATTGTGGACTAGGCCACAAAACTCACTAGGAACCAATCCCCACACTCTTCCCAATTGTGAATAGCAATGTAATGGGAGAAGTTCAGGATACCACACTTAGGCGTCCATACACATCAGCTTAAACTATGTAAAACAGACACAACATTTGGGTAACTAGCACAGTGCCTTTTCTCTTCTTCAATGGAGAACTATTTTAAATATCATCACTTTTATTCCCTACACTGGTTTAAACAAACAAAATAAGACAAAACTTGACATTGACTATATAGGAACTTTCAATTCAATACACAGCAATATGTAGGAATAATATAGCTTCATTGCTCAAGACCTCCATTCAGCAGAAAAAAAATGCACAAATTCTATGAACCTTTCTCTTTCACTAGAAAGATGCTAGCTATTACAGGGGAGTTGATGAGAGGAAAATGTGAAATCCCATCACAATGGAATATAGGAAGAGCTGGCATTTCTGCTTTGCCATTACAATTATTATTCTTAGGATGAAAGTTGGAATTGCAAGTTTAGCTGGACTCACCAGTTTCAACCTGTGGGAATGAAAAAAAGTTCACTCCCTGGGCCAAAAACCACAAGCAGCAGTTGGGAGCAAGAGAGCAAGAAGAACAGAAGAAAACAGATTCACTGCGTTGTTATCAAGAATGGGCTTCCCCGCTATGTGCTTTGCCTCATTTGTTGGGCTGTTCACCACCATGCCAGTGCTTTCATCCAACCCTGAAATGGAAAAAGAAGCAAGTGAGGTAGAAAACCCAAATTACTTGATTTTAAAAAAAGAACAAAATAGATTTTTCCTCCAAAGCATACAGTCTTTGAAAGGTTCTAAGTGACCTGCTAAACGACTTTAATGGATAATTTATATGATGAGAGATACAGAACCCTTGATTACAAATGGCCTCTTTGAATACAAGGGTTCCAATACACCTCAGTAATTTTCTGTCCATACCTCTGGAGTTGCTTCAGAAGTGAAAGAGAGAACATGAAAAGCAGAGAGGGCATGAAACTGGCGGGTTGGGCCTGCCTTTCCAGCGGCTCCCCTCCAAGACTGATCTATGAGGTCCTTGAGCGTAGGGATCATGTCTGTGGCCACAGCACTGTAAACAAAGGGTTGCGCATGGGGCTGGCACAAAGGGGGCACACGAAGATTTACAGAATCTCCCCTACTGCATGCATTTCTTTTTAACCCACTCAATGCAATCAGAAACTTACCCAACTAGAAACCAATTTAGAATAAAACCTACACTCTTTAAGAAACATGTGTTACTGTGTGTGTGTGTGTGTGTGTGTGTGTGTGTGTGTGTAGAGTTATTTACCCTTTAGTGGGAATTAAGATCAGATTGCTTCATCCTTAAAATCTAAATGAGACTAACAACACTGAGAACAAATATTCCGACTGATGGAGAGAGGGAAGGAAGGGCAAATATATTTCCTGAGGCATGAAGAGTACTGGGAGGACCGTACTGAGAGAACCCTTCTCTAGCCTTCCAACCTCTTCCTGATGTCAATCAAAGGAGAAACATGGTTGATGAGAGTATAAATACACACCTAACAGAATATGTCAGTACACTGATAGGATAAGAAAGTCTTAGAAGCAAAGCACTGAAAATTTTGAGAAAAACATACTCTACCACTCATATATATATATATATATATATATACATACATAGTTGGTTGGTTGGTTTTTGAGATGGAATATTGGTCTGTCACTCACGCAAAAGTGCAGTGGCATGATCTTGACTCACTGCAAACTCTGCCTCCCAGGTTCAATCAATTCTCCTGCCTCAGCCTCCCGAATAGCTGGAATTAACAGGCAGGCACCATTACGCCTGGCAATTTTTGTATTTTTAGTAGAGATGGGTTTCACCATGTTGGCCAGGCTGGTCTGGAACTCCTGACCTCAGTGATCTGCCCGCCTCAGCCTCCCAAAGTGCTGGAATTACAGGCATGAGCCACTGCACCCAGCCATCTACCATATATCCTGAGTGAGGCAAAAAACTCAGCGGCAAGGATAGCAAGCATATCACAGTAATAAAGTAGGTCGTGCGTATAGTCAGATTAGTACAATTATCCCTCAAATGGACTGGGGAAATGAATGGAAGGAATTGTATTAAAATGATCTGATCCCAAATGTCTTTCTTTCCTTGGATTAGGTAATGGCCCACACGAAAGCATCTGTTCTCTGTGCTATTGTGTCTTTCCCACACAGCTTCTAATCATTGCTATGCAAGACTAATTATCTTTCAATTAATTTAATACAAAAGTATAAGAAAGCCAAAATTGTGGAAGAGACTCTGTCCTATCATTTCTGGTCTGTCAACATCCTGTGTCTTTGGATTTGTTTTCATTGTTGACATTTTTTCTTTCTTTTCTCTATTTCTTCCCTATTTCTTTAACACACCAATAAGTTGCAAGAATGAAAGGATGTTCTTACCAGTATACTGCATTGTAGCCCCTATATAGGAGTCCACAATTGATCCTAGTAATCCAGCTAAACCACCAAATACAATAATTGGCCATTGGGGAGCAGAAATGTCTAAATCATTCACAAAAGTCAGCTGTGTGAGGAAGTATGCAATGCCCACAAAGGTACCACCAAGGAGACTGGAGACAAGGCCCACCACTGTAACTCCTCCATTGGTTCCTGAAGAAGAAACATGCAGAAAATCATCAGGTTAACAACCAGCAAACACATAAAGTCAGGGACAGCAAAGTACCTATCCAATCAAGACTAATTTAAAGAAAGCATTCTCTTTAATGAAATCTAAAGACTGTAGCCTATTCAGAAAATAGTATTTTCTCCTCAGTAACTCTTGATATTTTAAGCAGTGAAGCAGAATGGTTCAATGAAGCCAGACTGCCTGGTTTCAGTCTTGGTCCTGCTACTCTCTCTCTCTTACTCTCTCTTTTTAGAGACAAGGTTTTGCCCTGTCAACGTTGGCTAGAGTACAATGGTGTGATCATAGCTTACAGCAGCCTCCAACTCTGGGCTCATGCGATCCTCCCACCTCAGCCTCTCTAGTAGCTAGGATGACAGCTGGGCCACCTTGCCAGGCCCAATTCTGCAACTCTTAAGCCATATGACTGTAGTTAATTTATTTAACTTCTTTGGGCTTTAGTTTCTTTATAAAATATAAATAATAAACTAATTCATATGATTATTATGAGTACTAAGTGGCAATCCGTGTAAAGCAGTTAGAATAGTGCTCTGTAGTAGGTACTTAAAATGTGCTAGCTGTTATGATGATGATGAAGAGGAGGAGATAAAAGAAGAGGAGGAGAAGGCAATGATAGAGGATAAGATGGGTGAGAAAGAAAAGAAGGGGAAGAGAGGAAGAGAAGCATCAGAGGACAAAAAGAAGAAACAGTACAGGTTGAGTATTTTCTTTACCCAAATTGCTTGGGACCAGAAGTGTTTTGGATTTTGAATTTTTTCAGATTTGGAATATTTGCATTATATAGACTTACCAGTTGAGCACCCCCAAATCTCAAAATCATAAATCTGAAACACTCCAATGAACATTTCCTCTGAGCATCATGTCAAAGAGTTTAAGATTTTGGAGCATTTTGGATTTTGGATGTTCAGATTTGAGATGCTCAACCTATGTAGTTGTTGACTACATTGATAATGGAGAACTGAGATATAGGTTAAAGCACTGATATCATAACAGGCCCTCAATAAATATTCTATTGTTCCCTTTCTTTTCCTTCCCTACTCATATGTTTGCAAATTAATCTCTATGTTCCTGTATTGCTTATCTAGGTCTTGCTAACATTTCCTGCAAATATTATTTATTATTACCAGCTTAATAGTCTATAGAAATTTTCCAATTATTATTTAAAGAGACCAAATAAAGTTCTTAAAAGGCTCTAAAATAAGAAATACATTAAATCAAGAGGTTTTTTGGTTTGTTTTTTAAAAGAATCCCAAGTCAAGACTCACCAACTATGTCTACCAATGGGTCAAAAAGAAAAAAAGGACTCACCAACTGGAACTTTCTCCCAGGTTGTTATCAGCCTTGGAGGACTTTTACTCAGAACTGTGCCAACTTCTGAAGCCCATGTGTCTCCAGCACAGCAGGCCAATGCAGCCAAGAGAGACAAACACATCCACGAAGCAGAGTACTGCTTGGAAAAATCGACTGGGATTTCCCCAGGGCCATTTTCTATCATGTATAGCAGTGCCAGCTCTGTGGGTACAGCTCCATTACAGAATACCTGAACCCAATTCCTTTGCCCACCTGGAAACAAACAGAAAAGGACAAATAAATGCTCTCTCCTTAGAAGGAAAACCATGCAGTTATAGGTGTTTATGTTTTAAAGTTTAAGACAAGAAAAACAACAACAAACATTTTTAAAATAGTAAAAGTAGAACAGTACATTTGCCCAGATTCTGTACTGTTATTAACAAATCTGGAAAAATTATGACAGACTCTAGTGCTCCTAATATTCTGCTGTTATTTCCTATTGTTGTGAAATAAATGATAAACTCGCTTTGGCCACCATAAGGAATTCTCATATAAAATTGATGTGTTTTGACAGTCTAAACAACATTCTGATTAAAAGCTTATGTTAGGATGAAATGAAGTGTACTATTCTGATTAACATCAAACATAATTAATTTTACCTTCCTTATATTCTGAATCTAGGCGCTTCTTTGTTTCTCCCTTCCATTTAGTGAGTTTAGAAGAAGACAGGAAAAACATCAGCAAAGACGTAAAAAAGCTAAAATTTGCAATGGTTAGGATAAATCCAACCACTAGCCCTGAAAGAAACATATATAAACACAGAATTATACTCAATTCATACATTAATGCTGTGAAAAAAGAACAGATTTCTTCCCATTTATTTATTGATGAGATGGAGTTTTGCTCTTGTTGCCCAGGCTAGAGTGCAATGGCGCAATCTTGGCTCACTGCAACCTCTGCCTCCCAGGTTCAAGTGATTCTTCTGCCTCAGCCTCCCGAGTAGCTGGGATTACAGGCATGTGCCACTACACCTGGCTAATTTCATATTTTTAGTAGAAACGGGGTTTCTCCATGTTGGTCAGGCTGTGGTCTTGAACTCCCGACCTCAGGTGATCCGTCCACCTCAGCCTCCCAAAGTGCTGGGGTTACAGGTGTTAGGCACTGCATCCAGCCATTTCCCCAGTTATTTTTATATTATAATCTGAAATGTACATTTCTAACAACTGGCATTTTACCAATTAAGCTCTTAGCAAGCAGTAAACTGAATGCCATTTTGAGTACACATTTTTTTTTACTATATTTTAATCTCCTTTCAAACAATGCCATATGAATGTAAGATAGTATTTTAGATAATCTTTAAAAATCATCTTAATTTAAAAAAATTAGAAATAGAGATGGTGTCTCACTATGTTGCCCAGGCTGGTCTCAAACTCCTGAGCTCAAGTGATCTTCTCAGCATTGGTCTCCTTAAGTGCTGGGATTGCAGAAGTGAGCCACCGCACCTGGCCTCCTTTTGCTATAATAACCCTTTCCATTGCTTAGCTCAAGGTTCAGATATCATAATCAATGAGATAGTTATTCATTGACTCTTCTAGAGATGCTCAATTACTGGTATTTAACTTTGGTACCTTTTAATTGAGAATACAAGAAATAGGGTAACTTGGCATAAAGTTTTAATAATAATAAAGTGCTTCAGGTCTGGAGTTGAACAGTCTAGAGTTCAAACTTTGGCTCCTCCAACTACCTCTTCAAGATTAGGATAAGTTATCTAACCTCCTTAAGTCTCAATTTTGCATTGGTGAAATAAGAATAATCATAATTCCTATTTCACTGGCTTCCTGTAAAAAGTCAGGGATAATTTTTATAATATGCTTATTATCCAGGGGCATATTTTGTATATGCTCATTACATAAATATATTAATAAACACATTTTGTAATATGCTTATTATATTATCCGGTAAAAGCTCCTTAAAAAGTGTTACCTAATGTCATTGATACTAATAACAGTAACAGTTCCAGTGGCAAAAGCTCAACAATAATACTGATAAATATTATAATATTGTTATCCAACCTTTAAGTTTTTTCAATTGCTTTTTAAAACATTACAAAAGTAGTATGCAAGTATTGAAGGGGAAAGTCAAAACATATGGAAGTATGCAAACTGAAAGTCAAAGTGTCTCCCCTCCTCCTCTTCATGAATATTCACTGTTAACAATTGTTCCACCATCTCTAAACAAACCCCGAGTAGAAGAGCCCTAAACAGCCTACACTGAGATGTCACAAATGGCATCTATATCCTTTTTACTTCAACCACCTTAAAATACCACATGAAGTGATCAATGTTCATGTTGATGACAGCTTCACATTGAGGAAATGAACAAGACAACAAGCTTTGAAGGAATGCTTTATTTCATGCAGTCTAAAGATAGCTTGGAACTTCTGGCAACTCCCACCTATGTCTACATTTTTAGATTAGTAACTGTTATCTCCTGTTCATATCTTTTCCACTTCTCCATCCTGCAAATCTCTAAATATCATTGATAAAGTGTTCATATATATGACAATAGGGTACTCCCAAATAATTTGAAGACTCGAGGATTATGTTTGCCTTCTGAGCCTAAAACAGATAAATTCTGTACCTAACAGATATCATTGGGGGAGTAAAATGACACTGTCTACAAATTTCTGACAATGGGAGTTGAGTTACACTCCAAATTCCAACCAGGTTGACCTGGGTAATCCCCAGGAGGCATAAAAGAGAAGGGCAGGACTGGAATTTCATAGCAATTTAATAAACTCAGAACTAATCTATTGTTTCATACGTATTCTATAATAACTTAATTGGCTAGCCTAAAATGTATAAAGTGAAGGCCCAAAGAACCAGAGGTTGGTAGACTTCTTGAACCATATCCAAAGAAGAACCTTTGAACTGTGGACTCGCATTACTCTTTCTCAGACTTTGTACTCACCAAAGCAGCCTTCTAATTATAATCTGACTTCTCAAGTGGCCTGGAAACAAGCATAGGGCATGCCTGAACAGTGAGGTTTGTGTTCTTCTGCCTGATTAATAAAGTGGCATTCTGGGTCATATATCAATCCTTTATGACAATGAGCAACATTCAACCAGTTTTCCAGGCTCTAATCAACTCTGCATACATGACAGAGTGAGGTTTCTACTTCAGAAAGACTGAAACCAGACCTGAATTATAGTAACCAAAAAGAGGTCAGGTCCCCCTTGTGAAACCACACAGTGTACCACCACTGGCCCCTCCTGACAACACCCCCTCTTGCTGTGCTCTTCCACAAACACTTTCCCACAAATCCCCTTCATGTGACTCTCTCCTTATTCTGGCAATGCTCACTCTCTCTCCAAGAGACCAGAGTCCTCTACTTCAGTGTGCAGCTTAGGGACTGAGTGTGACTGAACCCCTGCCCATTCCTCTCAACACTGGGTATATGTTTCTGTCATGAAGGTTCTAAATACCCAGATCCTGAGGAAGTTCTGTAATTCTTCTCAATCCTCGACACACTAAAGTCATGATGTGTCAAAGTAAAATTCCTTTGTATTAGTCCATTGTCAGGCTAGTAATAAAGACAAACCTGAAACTGGGTAATTTATAAAGACGAGAGGTTTAATTGACGCACAGTTCCACAGGGCTAGTGAGGCCTAACAATTATGGCTAAAGGCAAATGAGGAGCAAAGTCATGTCTTACCTAGCGGCAGGCAAGAGGGCCTGTATAGGGGAACTCCCATTTACAAAACCATCAGATCTTGTGAGACTTATTCACTATCATGAGAACAGCACGGGAAAGACCTGCTCCCATGATTCAATTACCTTCCACCAGGTCCCTCCCATGACACATGGGAATTATGGGATCTACAATTCAAGATGAGATTTGGTTGAGGACAACGGCGGTCAAACTATATCACTGTGAATGGTAGTAGTGGAAGGAAATCAGTAATAATAACTAATATTTATAAAATATTTATATGCCAGGTATTGTGGTAAGCATTTTACATGGATGACAGTTCGTGATAATTCATTGCTATAGATACCATTATTCCTTCACATTTTATAGACAGGAGAAGTACAACACTGAGAGTTTCAGTGACTTGCAGTCATACTCTAGGCTAATATTCCCAACTACTATGATATACTTAAAATCAGCATTAGGTTTTTTTATTTTTTTTAATCTTTAAGGAAACAAAAAGTTCCAAACAGTAAGAAAAGCTGGATGTGATGGTGTGTTCCTGTAGTCCCAGCTACCCAGGAGGCTAAGGCAGGCAGATTGCTTGAGCCCAGGAATTCAAGGCTGCACTAAGCTATGATTGCATCGCTGCACTACAGCCTGGGTGATAGAGCAAGACCATGCCTCTAAAAAAAATTTTTTTGGGGGGAGGCAGAGTCTCACTCTGTCACCCAGGTTCAAGTGCAGTGGCATAATCTCAGCTCACTACAGCTTCCACCTCCTGGGTTGAAGTGATTCTCCTGCCTCAGCCTCCCAAGTAGATGGGATTACAGCACCTGCCATCATGCCCGGCTAATTTTTAGTAGAGACAGGTTTCAACATGTTGCCCAGACTGGGCTGAAACTCCTGGGCTCAAGCAATCTGTCTGTCTTGGCCTCCTTAAGTGTTGGGATTACAGGTGTGAGCCACTATACTTGGCCATAAATTAAA